TGTTTGTCAAACTTTAATCATTTTTAACATAAAAAAAAATTGTGATCAAGTTTATATAAACTGGAACAGAAAATGCCTGAACCTTTTCTTTGACTAGGAAACCAGAATCCTGGCTGGCAGCCAAACCCAATGCAAGGAGGATACCCTCAAGGTCCACCAGGCTCCTTCCCCCCCCAGCCTTATGGTGGACAAGGTTATGGACCTGGGCCTGGTTATGGACCTGGACCTGCTTATGGACCTGGACCTGCTTATGGACCTGGGCCTGGTTGTGGACCAGGGCCTGGTTATGGACCTGGATCTGGTTATGGACCTGGACCTGCTTATGGACCTGGGCCTGGTTATGGACCTAGACCTGGTTGTGGTCCTGGATATGAACAGGGACAAGGGCATTATGGACATGGACACCATGGCCACCATGGACACGGCCGCCATCACCACAAACATAATCATGGTCACATGCACATCAGATGTCACAAGAAAGGAAAGCATTGTCATGGGGTAAGATCCAGTTGTTTTGTTGAACAATGTAAAGTGTTTCTACTGCGCCAAATAAATACTTGTTTTACTTTTGCACTGATGCCAGTGTAAGAGTCAGAGTTTTCATTTGGTTTGTTCTTTATAAGATACTAAGTAACATATTGTTCCAGCATTTCCTATAATAATGGTCCTTGTTTGAAGAGCCCCGTTGGTTTTGATTCCAAAAAGTCCTCAAATCAAATTGACAAAATAAGTCAATTCTTCCAAAACAAGCAATTTAACTGTTCCAAGAAGTGATTTGTGACCATGCTACTTGGTTGAACATATTCAAACATCACCATAAAGCGGCTATATTGAGTATATTTAGAATGACAATGACTCATATGACTGTGCAATGTGAAAGGTGTTGCTCATAGTGAGGAAACCACAGGCAGTTCCCAAGGTTTTCAGTGAAATGGCTCCACAGACCAACTCTATGCTCGCTGTCCAGCACCAAGCAGCAGAAAGACACGTGAACTTAGATTCATACGGCTGGAAAGAAGCCAGTGTTTGTTAAGACAGTAACTATATCAACTGAATGTCTTATCAGTCTATGTCAGTGTTGTGTGCACAGCGTGTTTCTGCCGCCTCCAGGTGGCACAGAAGCAGCATGTTTAAGTGTGGCCCAAACCAAAAACAAATAGAGAAGCAACAAAGTCAAAACTGGATGTTCCTGTTAGAAATGGATCCAGAACTATTCATCACTCAAGAAGACAACAGTGTAATAATGAGACAATGACATCATCTCTGCATGACGTGACAGTGTGTTGTTTCTTGTTGCAGCACTCCAGCAGCTCCTGCAGCAGCGACTCTGACTAGATGAAGATTCCTCGCCATGAAGAGAAACATGACAAGTTGCTACCTGGACGCCTTCTTCTTCCTACTTACAATAATCAGTTTATTCACTCACCTACTTTTTAAAGCGTGTGTGTTTTCATGGGTTATTAAATACAACACACAGGTTTGGGAATCTTTCAGAGTCATGTTTAAGTCATGTGTTAAACCATATTACATATTAAAGTAGACAGAGCTGGACACATACAGCTGCTGCTGTTTTGACAAGGACATCAGCAGTAGTCAGTGTGTGACACTGTGTATGCTTTTTATATACTGGACGCTGATCATAATTGTTGCCTTGTAATAAACAGGAATCTGGTAATCACAAACTCTTGCCTCTTTACTTTCTGTGTTAATTGTTTGGCACTGTGTGTTATTACTGTATCTTACGGTGGCCCTGAGGTGCAAAGCACAACAACATTTCACTAAAGTCAAGTCAAATTTATTCATAAGCAGCTTTAAAAACAACATCAGCTGACCAAGGCTCTGCACAAACTAACAAAAGACAACAAAATAAACAAATAAGTAACATATAGAACACATATAACAGTAGGGGGGAAATATTGTGACGACCGCTAGCTCGGTTGAGAGGAGCTGGCCCGACCCTGTCCTATACTGGGACAACTAACCAGCCAGCTATGCGCTGGCACCTATGCTGACAGTGAGGAGAACACCTTCTTTGACTTTTTGGATTTTATTAGACAGAATAGAGAATGCGAAAACAGAACTGCGGTTTACCTGGCACCGTGTGCTCCTCAGGAAAATAATGAAAAAAAAGTAAAGCAGGACAAACAGTAACAACACTCTCTCAGGGCAACCCGAGTTCCGCGCCAACAGAATCTAAACAACACGCCCACCTGTCATCCCTCTTATCTCCTCCCGCACCTGTTCCTCCCCCCAATCCCACATTGGCCAGAACAGCGCGGCATTTTGCAGAAAACAGCGGTAACCAATACATGAACAGCCTTCAATAACATTGTCAACCCATTCGCACACAACAGAACACATGAACATCAGCGGCCGGTCAGGGTCGCCACAATATATAAGAAATAAAAACACATACAAGCTTCTCAGTCTGATTTAAATCCCAAGGTACTGGGACTTCAACGCTGTCATTGTGGATGCAGATCTAATACAGAGGAGTGGACTATTCCTTAACCTGGAAGCAGCTATTGCAAAGCCACAGCTCCCTTTCATCTCTAATCTTAATCTAAGAACATCAAGGAGCAAAATCCTCTCTGGAAGGGATATGAACACATAAAAGCTCTGACAAGTATGAAGGGGCTAGTCCATTTAATGATTTAAAACAAACTATAAAAGCTTCAATTTGATTATATTTGATAGAAAGTCACATGGTTTGACTTTTCATTACTAGGGGTGTAACGATCCATCGATCTGGATCGATCCATTGAACAAACACTTCACAATCTGATGCAACACGTAGACATCAATGTTACATGTACTTTATTTTGACAGCCAGTCACATGCGCATGTATTTCTGGTGAAGTGTGGTTCTTTTCAAACTGGACAACAAGTGGACAGGGGCTTTAGCCACTGAATAATAATTAAAAATCTCAATCCCAGTCTTGTGGTATATGTTCGTATTCCTGGTAAATCATACCTACTTCCACTCTCACCTGATTACAGCCGCTGGGTATCTCTGTGTGCAGTAACTGGATGGGCAGGTTTCAGGAGTTCCTGAAAGCACAGCCCCTGAGATGATCACTTCCTGAATACACATTAAAAAACGAAAGTCTCAGAGTGAAACAAGTGCACATGGTGAATGAGACTGACGGGAAAGCAACACAGAAACCTCTCGGGTAAGAAATGCTAGAAAACTGCATTAACCTACAAAACTAATTATTAAAATAAATACATATTATTTATAATGAATTATTATAAAATCGAAATAGGAGGATGTGCTCTAGTCTTTATTCACTTAAAGTGCAGTTTAACCCAGGTGATAACGTGTGCATGTGTTTTGTGGTGTGTGTTTGCACTGTAGCATGAGTCAGTGGAAGCAGATTCAGCAGCTGGAGATCAGACTCCTCGAACATGTGGACTATCTTTATGATGATAACTTCCCCATGGATATCCGACAGGGTCTGGCCAGTTGGATCGAGTCTCAGGATTGGTGAGTCCTGCTCTGTGTGTGTGTGTGTGTGTGTGTGTGTCTGTCTTGGAGGTTGTCCTGGTCACATATACAACATGTATGGAATATGAGTAAGAGAAAATGATCATCAAACTTTATATTTTCACTGATCTTTACACAAAAAGGCAATTATCTATGTAAAAGACCACCCAAATTACAGAAAAGTCATATTTCAATTACTTAAAGAGAAACTGAACATTGAACTGCCATGTGGACAGAAACAGGTGGACTCTAAATGAATTATAGCATTACTGCATGTCCGAATGTAAATGGGAATGTCTGTTCCCTATGTCAGATAGTGTGCTTTCTTGTTTTGCTGCCCTTAAGAACAACAACAGACATTAAAGTAGTCATTCATCAGAGCAGTTACCATGGATTCAGGGAATTTGACCAGATAGTGGAAGTTGAACTTCTTTTGCAAACTGTTCCAGGTGGCTGGAGCAGAGAACATAAGGGACAGACAACAGATATAAGCTGTTTTATCTAAGATTATAGCTAGTAAGCAGGATCCTTTAGATAAACCTACAGAGGTAGGGAGGTAGTTTTTAGGGATGCTGTAATATCATGAACAGCCTTTAACGCAGCAGTAATAGTACTGTGCTTCTTTCTGAAGCCAGATTGATGCTCAGACAGGATACTATTTGCATATATAAAACTTTTTATTTGGTTACTAACAAATTTGTGTTTTGTGGTGTCTGTACATGCTAATGCCGTGCACATGTATATTAGCAGCCATCCACGTATGTAAGCATATGTGTACAGTAAGTAAGAAGAATACCTGGAGGTTTTAGGCAACACATGCCAGACTTCCTTCTAAATAAGGCAGCATGCTCTAAAAAAGGACCCAATGTTCACCACTTTCTCACATCTGTTTCCTAAAAACATCAGAGAGCAGCCAACAGGACTGTATGAGTGTTCAGTTCACACTTCTCACTTTTCACCTTCTAATGAAATTATACATTTTGATACAGTTTTGTTTGAGCAGCCATTTGTAGTCACTAGTATGGGAATCTTTATTTTAAATGTTTCATTAAAGCAAATGAGCAAACACAGAATCCCTTGATTGGGGTTTCTTTCCTTTTCTTTTATAAGCATAACACCAGCCATTTTCTTCTTTGTGGGGTTTTACTGAGAATCTCCTAAACATCCCTTCCCCACTGTGTGTTTTCAGGGACACAGCCGCTAATGATGAGTCGATGGCCACAGTGCTCTTCACCAATCTACTGTCTCAGCTGGAGAGGGTGCGCTCACAGGAGCAGAACTTTCTACAAAGACACAACATGAAAATAATACAACAACAGTTACAGGTGTGTCAAAATCCTTTCATCCTTTCATGTCCTGGTTATGTCAACTAAAGAACTCTCCATTTTCAACAGGGACTTAATTTTATGCTGTTTTGCAGCACTCTTATTGTTTTTAAATAAGGGTTAGCCCATGGCTGCTCATTTTTTTCATTTGCAGCCATTTAATGTTTAATCTTGGGTACCTCTAGATTAGCTTTGCACCCATCACAACTCCAAATAGTCTGTAATTATTTCAGAATGATAAAACCAGAGAGCCTCTTCCTAAAAACGAGAGGATAATTTGTGAATGTGCAGAACTCCTGTTGCTGGTGTTGTGTTGTAAGTGGACACAGATAGGTAAACAGCAAAAGAGATGTGTAACACTCTAAATAAAGTGGGTAATTGAGAAACCCCACATTTTAACTGGCATAATGCAGACATAGTAACTTCTCCAGCCTTACAACAATTCTCTCTAATGTTACAGAAACAAGACATTAACAGACATACTGTTAAGTCCCACCATGCAATAGAAACATCGCTCCCCTTCAAGTAGCTCCAAGATCAGTAAATCCAACCAGTGTCTTCCCCCACACGACCACATACAGTCCCAAGGTGGTAAAATTAATTCCAACAGGTAGCGTAGCACTGACAATAACATCATGGATCATTAATCCACTCATTAACCAGCAACACATCACATGCGGCAGACACACTGGCCTCAAGCTGCCAAAACAAACAGGTATTGTGCTCTGGGGAAATCCAGCATTGATGAGCTGATCATTCACCGCCACGGTGGCTTCACTGGCCGGCTGCTTGTAGGTTAGACCTGGTCCGGTAAAACAACGAGTCCCTTTACAGGAACATTCCCAGACATGCAGTAACCTCAGGCCCTGTATTTTACTCCACATCCTCTGGTCACAGTGCAGCAGCAGGAGGGAAAATGTATCCACAAAACCATATGCAGTTGAAAAATTGCCAGTGGATGTCAGGCAAGCTCACATGAACACGCAACTGCCTGGAGGTTATGACCACTCAATGAGATCTTTAAACTATCATGTAAGACTTTATCTTGTTAGAAAAAAAGTCTCGTGAGAAAGAGTTTACGAGATGTGTGTAAACCAAGTACTAGAATATACAGACACCTCATTTTTTGAGCTTTAGGTTACATCTAAGATGAGAATTCACCCTTGTAACATTGTAGATATTGGCTCTTTAAGATCTGTCATTGCAAGTTACATAACACAGTAAGTTGTTTTGCATTCTACTTTTTAATATACTTGTGTTTTATTCTGTACTGTAATTATCCCACATAGGAGAATCACATACTCCTATGCCAAACCATTAAAAACATATGACTATTTATTATGTTACTTGACATGCTCATACAGCAGCTCATAAATAACACAAACAAGTTTCACTACAACGTTCACTGTATGAGGAAGCAGTTTGCCTAGGCGGACAACAAAGGACAAACAAAGGAACTGCTAAAGTAGTGGCAAGGGTAGCATCAGAACTGAATGAGAAAGCTTTGGCTGCACAGTACAGCATATTACTTGCATGTTGTGTTGACACATATCAGAAAAAAAGCAAGTGGAAGAAAACACCTGTGGAGATTTTTGAGTGATATTATGTATGTGGGGGAACAAGGTCCAAATGTTGTCAAAAATTGTCTTACAAACCACTGGGGAAGAAACATTAACCATAAACTGACCACACTATCATCATTTAGTGTCAAATTTAAAACATTTGTGATAAGGAGAAGTAGTTTTGTGGTTCATGGTGTGTGTGTACTCAGGTTGAAGGGAAGTAAAATATATTGGCTTTCAAAATGGTTGTCAGTTTGAATGTGTGACTCATGTCTATTTTTTGTGCTGTTTTTCTCTGGTAAATGAGAAGCAGCTACCATTTTATCGTTGAGCAGCTCAGGTGTCAAATGTAGTGAGTAGCGGCCGTACAAGCACTTACATGACCTTTTGTTTTACACAAAAGTCAAAACAGTCTGCTCTCAAAAATCATGAGTTTATTGCTGGAAAATACTGTCGTACAGTACACTATTAATGTGGAGAGGGAGGGGTCTTCCCCTGTCCCTTTCATTAATATCACTACTTTCTCAAGGTAATCGAAGTATGAGCTCACAAGAGTGTAGAGGTTGGTCCTGGCACTATACAGGATGTTTGGTTGAGGTCAGAGCTGGGTGGTGTCACAAGCATCAGCACATGTTTTATTCTGGAAAAGACATATACCTTTGCAGAACAAGCCCGTGAGGTTTTTACCACTGTTTCCTGTGTGTCTGAATATGTGTGTGCATGTTTCAAAGTTAACACTTCAAAGAGGAAGCAGTTAGTCCTCTATGGTAGTCAAGGATGTTTGTGGCATGTTGATGTGATGTGCAAGTAATGTTTAAATCATCAATTTCTACAACAGAGAAACATACCAGCCATGTTTGACTTAGTCTTCTATTTGTTTGTCCCAGATTCTAGCAGAGTCTTTGTCAGGAAAACCCCTCTGTTCCTCAAACATTTTATTTGTTCACATTTTTTCATCAGAAATTCTAAAAAGGCACCTAAAATGTTTCCAGAACACATTTTTAATGAACAATGCAGGTCAACTAAACTGAGAAGCAAGTTTTGATTATTAGAAACACTAAACCAAACTAATCTGCTGTTTACCAGTGCTAAATGGCATGGTTGTTATTGTAATGAAAGTGAGTGTGTAGGTGTGTGTTGATGCATCCTCAGTCATCATTCTGGCAATGATGCTGATGCCTGACACCTTAGTCACACCTGGAGGCGAGAGAAAGTTTCCTCTTCCCACAGCAGATTTATATCTTCTTTTCTGGGCTTTTGAATGTGTTGATGCGCTTCATGTAAATCTCATCTAGACCAAGAAAATCAAGTGGTGATGTAGACAGAGTTATGCAGGCAGGAGTGTGGCTAAGGGAAAGTTTGTGGCAGCACTAAACAAACACAAAACTTTGATTTAGGTCATTGTTTTCAGTTTTAATGTAAACAAAATCTGTACTGAAAGCATCTGAACTTTCACTGCCCCATTGAACCCAGCTGATGCTGAAAGACCGTTTTTTAGATAGAAAACTGTCCCTTGATTTTACACATAGAGGGCTGTTTGCTATTCACAAGAAGTATTGTAAAAACTGTTGTATAATGTCTTCTGTGCCTCCATACATTTTATGAGCTGGATTTCAGAATTAAAGATGGCACCCAGTCACCTGAATAAAAATTGCATTTGAAAAAACACATTGCTCATTTGGCGCATGAGTCAGAAAAGTTTTCTAGCTTCCAAGTTTCCACCTTGTGTGACCCACCGCACATATGCATTTGTGTTTCCCTCAGTGCCTGTCAAGATGTTTCCCCTTAACATCTTAACCTCAACCCAACCTTATGCTAACACAGGGCAAACATGTCTTGTGGGGGAATACATTTCAATACAACACCCCTGGTAGCCACAGTGGGATTTATCAATGCAGTACTGCAAGTGACGACTGAGAAAAATGGACTTAACGGCTGAATGATGGCACCGTATCCAGCTGTCATACTGTAATACATCCATGGGTGGCTCTGGACAGATAACCTTAATGACATCATAGCAAAGTCATCAGGGATATCCATTAGGTGCATCACACGACATGCAGGATTCAGTGATTTTTGGAAATGGACCCATGAAAGCCATGTTATCTCACCCTCATATACGGTATATCCACAAAACCACGTGCAGTCAAAATATTGAACTTTTAATATGGCACCGGTGGAAGTCAGGCAAACTCACATGAACATACAACTGCCTGGAGGTTATGACCATTCAAGGAAATCCTTAAATTATCATGGAATACTTTATCTTGTTAGAAAAAAAATCTTGTGAGTGAGAGTTTTCGAGACGTGTGTAAACCAAGTTGCTTCTCCATAGAAATACTAGAACATGCATACACCTCATTTTTGAATCTTTTGGCCATATTTAAGATGATAATTCACCGTTGTAATATTGTAGATAAGTCAGAAAACAAGGAAAAGCGCCATGGGCTCTTTAAACTCTGTTTCCTTTACATTCAACTAGCTGCAAAGAGCTTAATTATTTTGTATTTTCAGTTTGGACCATTATAAATGAAGATCACATCCTTGAAATGTTTTCCAAGAGTCAAACAAACATCATGGGTATACTGTATAACACCACTGGACAAACTGGTTTAGTTTAGAATAGCTGTACATACACCTTTGTGTATATGCACCTATTTGTACTTTCATTATGACTGTAACATGCTCCTTTTATTTCATGCCAGAGTCAAGTTCAGCCTCATTCCTTTGCTGATTGAATATGTGAAAACACTTCTTGTAAAGACCTCATGTCTTCTAGGATTCCCATGGTGACAGTTCCCCTCATCAGAGCCTTGTTCTTCTGGTTAGCACATTAGTCACTGTGAAAAGTAAAGAACAAATGCTTCCGCTGGCTCTATGGCTTACATAGGTTTCTATGAAAACGTTAATGACAAAGTCTTTCCTAACTTGATCACTGATTTATTCAATTTGTGTTGCACAGGTTTTTTGTAACATGCAATATGTTTGGCTCCACAGGTGAAATATTCTACCAACC